AGGGATTTGATGTTATGCACATTAAATTACTTACTGGTTTTTTGATTGGTGTGGCCTCCTTTTTGACAATAGGAATCTTAGAGGCAGAGTCTTACAGTTTTCACAGATAGTGTTATATTACCCTGATCGTTCATAGATATGCAGAATTTGTACTATTTTTTTTGGTTCCATATAGCATGGGTTAGGGCATCTTTGGTATTGTTATTCTTTTTGTCCCTACCAGGATTTGTCATGTTTGATGATAGTTATCATTCCATAGATTATGCCAGCTTACCTTTAGGCATGCCTTTTTCTCTCATTTACGATAGTATTTTCTATAACCAACCTAATGATAATTTATCTGGTACCATTAATCCTTTCGTTCACATCCAGACCATGAAATACTAGGTCACAACATCCCATAATACACAATTGGTCAGCCAGCAGCGCATTTATGTTTAGCAATTTCTATCTATGGCTTAAGGAAACCACTATACTGCAGCTCTTTATGCTCCAATTACACAATTTTCCAAGATAACTCAATTCAGATTTTATTTGTATACTGCAGCACGAGTACTGAGCCAGCGGCAACATAGAGTAAAGATCAATTCATAATCAACCTCCGTCACTTGTTTCTTACTCGGGGCTTACCCTATACTTCTTCAAAATTAGAAGCGGTGCGTGCCGCTACACATATATGAAAACCATTTAGAAATAGAAATTTAAATTCTCTTCTCCTCCCCTCACCTAGCAAAACTCTCTTCAATTACCATTTGGAGTCAGGGACCAAGACAAGTACCTTCAATGATCTCAAAGGAGAGCCTCATGAGATACCAACCTGCATTGGTTGACGGAGGCGGGCAAGCCAATACATATACAATAGACCTTATCTACTAATACCGTTCTCAGGGCAGTGAATGACAATGCCGGCTACATGATCTATGGTGCTCTCTCTATAGTCTCTAAATCGAAGCGAAAACGTCTAGCCAAGAGGCCTTCCAAGTGGGTGGATCATCCGGCCTTGACCAGTTTGACGCAAGACTACCTCGAGAGTAGATTGGTAAGAGAGACAGCAAAGCGAGATATGCCAGATGTGGTGGAGAGAGATGATCGGGAAGAGCGAGCGAGAACAGAGACAAGACACGTCACCAGCACTAGCATACTATTAAGGACGAACAGACAGTAACTCCAACTAACCATTGACCAGTTTCCAATAGAAGCTTTGATAAAGCTTATTGAGATCTAGGGCTGGATCAGGTGAGGTTCCTTATATATTCGAAGAAAATTGAAACCCAAGACGATACATTAGTGCAGTTACGCATACGCTTAGATATGGGGACGGCCTAGTACTATCGGAACAGCGAGCAACCAGTAACACGAGGTGATCAACTTGTATCCCAATTAGAAGATTAGACTACTTAATAGCAACTAACTAATAATAGAAGCTCCTATAACAACAATAATATCAGCCTCTCTTTGACCTTTTCCAGCTATGGTAGTCAGCAGCAGTCATCTTTCTAGCACTCCATTCATGTCCCATTAATGATGTTACTAACTTCACTTCTTCCCGGAGTTCTTGTGCTTTCCCGTCTCACAGGTTCTCATGGATCCTGGTGGATCCTCCTGCCAGTGGTCCTGCCTTGAACTACCATAGCTAAAATCACTGATATTATTTGTAATATTGTATATAAGTATTATTTTTCTACAGTTACTGTTGTTAACTGTTGCTCGCTGTTCCCCATCGTTGCTGCTGTCAAATCGTAAATTTTTTCATGTTCATACATCGGTCACTTCTATTCAATGGTAGTTGTTGCTACTGTTGTTGCTGGTACATCTGTCTGTCTTTGTCCTCACCCCCCCCTTCTTCCTCCCACCCCCCCCCCCCCCTATCTGTTTCTCTCTCTCTCCTCTCTCTCTCTCTCTCTCTCTTCTTCTCTCTTTCCCCCCAATCGGTCAAGGCAGATGACCACCCACCTAGAGCCGAAAGGTCTGTCTAGGTTTCTGCCTGTTAAAGGCAGTTTTTCCTTGCCCCCGTCACCAAGTGCTGCTCATGCTGGTCTGTTGGGTCTCTGTAAATGTTAAAAGGAGTTCGGTCTAGACCTGCTCTATTTGAAAAAGTGTCCTGAGATAACTTCTGTTATGAATTGGCGCTATACAAATAAAATTGAATTTAAATTGAAAAGGTCCCTTGAGGCAAAAGGTTGGGCGTGAGTGATGTGCTGCTTCATAAATCACATCCTTTACCTTATTGGTTTGATATTTCCGACAGTATCCTGAAGGCAGCACTTGTTGGCCGCTCCCACACCATCTCCGCTCCGGTCTGGGAGGATTGGCTGGATGCAGCAGTGTCACTGACACTAACCTGAACTGTGATAGCACCTCTCAATAGACACATTATCTACACTTTGAAGGTAGGTGAGACGAGCTAATGGCTACTGTGAAGATTCTGAAACGAAATGACCGCTAAATTATTCGATACATTTCGTCCCCAAACGTCCACCGATACAAACCGGTTGGAGTCAGACACGAGTCAAACCGGTTCAGCGAGACAAAAAAAGCAAATTGCCCCAGAAGGGCGCATTCGGAGAAGTTACATTGGAAACAAAGTAAACAACCCGTTGTTTATTAACGTTGATTGGTTCGTGTGTGAGCCTAATGTGGCTTCCTGCTGTCCTGCGTGTGTCTGCGGTCTGTCTGTCTGTTTTTCTGTCTGTAGGGGGCTGCTGCTCTGCTTTGTATTTTCTGCACTCAGCACGACAATAAACAGCCCCTGAAGTTTGGGCAGCGTTCGTTAAATCCGGTTTCAGCCCGCGTTCCGCCCCGTCCGTCCCTTCGTGCAGCGCGCGCTCGGTGATTATCACAGATAATGAACGGAACAGATTCCGACGGTGTTTTTTTATCTGTGCACGCGACCACACCTCTCCCGCGCTGTCCATCACACGAACACATCTCTCTGGAGGCGAGATACTGCTCATACGGCTCTAAAGGCGATGGGAGCACCGCTGCCGGATGCTTCCATCCTTTGTTTTACTCGTGTTTATCCAACGTTACGTTTATGGGACACCGAGGGGACCCGAGACCCCCTCTCCGGCTGGGGCCTGTGAGGCTTTCAAGTGCCGTAGAACGTATTATTAACAAGGGCATGCTGGGAACTACAGGGCAGCCAGGGGGAACTCCCCTGATAACATGATTTGTGAAATTTTGCCCATATGTTATTTTTGAGAGTAGCTCTTAACTTTAGGAAGCAGGTGTGATTGTCAGCATGCATGTTAGTATTAAAATGCCATATTTGTAAGTGGAGTTTGGTCTGTAGAGGTGCAGAGATGTAAAATAATAAGACTGATGAAGGTGATGACTCAGGGAGGCTCTCAACTTTAGGTAGACTAGCAGATGTCTTTCATTTGTGTCTTTCTTTATCTTCATCATCATGGGTCATGTGTAAAGTTAGGCTATTATTCATTTATGATTCATGCATGAGGGTGATTCACTAATTCACGATACTGCCATGCATCTAACCTGCATGCTGTACCATTGAAGCATTGCGGCGCAATATCATAAAACAGATATCAGAAGAAAACTAACTTTCCTAGTCCCACTCAGTCTGTGTGCCAAATCACCATTCTTCACATCTCTGTACTGTAGATTCAGTTAAAGCTGAGGATAGCCATTGTGCGGCACCCGGGGACCAACTCCAGGGTGGAGCCAGTGCACTGACTGGAGAATTTACATAATACATGTCCCCCTGCAGAACTCAGTGGTTGTTCTTGCTCCTACAGCGTGCTGTGTGAATGCTGTCTGTGCACAGTTTGACACCAAAATGATGTTTTTCCATTGATTTACTGAAAGTGGAAAGTTTTCTGTGCTCATTGAACATCTGACTTTGGAATATCATAGCACCTGAAGGTGTTTCTTTGTACTTCTGTTTATCATTAGTTTAAGCTTCATACAACTACAGATGTGATCGCTTGTCCTTCTAGCCTGTGGTTCATTTTGTATTTTACCTCCCCCTGGCAAAATGTATTTGCATGAGATGAAACAGTTTGAGGAATGTTATTGGCTCAGTTTTACTAAAAAAAGACCCAGCGCTGCCTCAGAATAGAAAGGCAGCAGGCAGAGCAGCTGAAACGCAGACAGGTGCAGACACCGGACCGGACTGACGGAAAAGACCAGTCCTCTTTCTGTTGACGGATAGCTCACTAGTTAAAGAACTAATAAAGGTAATTGCACCTTTTGTTCCAGTCAGAGTAAATAAATAAAAAGTTAGATCTATGTGTGTGTGGTCATTGGTAGCTCCTGTAACGGTTTGCAGTGTGAGGAGATACCTCTGAACCGGCCACAACATGTTCTGTCTGAAAGAAAAGGACAGAAAAGGTCAGAGTTGATGATATAGTTCCTGAGTTAAATCATCATTTTTATTTTACTGTCATGTATATTAAACATATTTACAATTGCATTGTGTTAATACAATAAAGAGAACGCTGATGTCTGGCTCCTGTTAAACAGGAAAAACATGTATGTACCATATTCCTCAGGTTGAGTCTCAGCTCAGGGCTACCAGTGCTTTCTCTTCCCCACATTTAAAACCTCCCTCACAGTGGGATTGGAATAATTGTCATGTAAGTTAAAATGAACCAGGTAATTGCTGTGGCATTAAACACATCAGTGGTCTGCTGTGAATGAAGGTCAGCGCAGGTTCCAGACATGTATTCAGACATATACACGAATAGTCTGCTTGAATGCTGATTTCCAATGAAGGCATTTAAATAACAAAATAACCAGAGACTTTTATTGTCAAGGATTTCTAGGAAGTTAAATATGTTTATCAGCAGAGCGTAGGTTGCATTGCTGGTCCCTCTCTTTTTATTCAGTCTTGTGCTCTCTCGAATACCGCGGCTCTCTCTACCTGTGAAGACACACCTTCAGGCAGGTAGCCCTGTTGTAATCGAGAGGTGTGTATGGGTTGACCTCCAAACTATTTGTGAAAGTCAAACAGCACTTTGGCAGCAGCATCTGAAAACGGCAGGTTTTTTTTTTGGGCATGTCTGAAACCGCTAGACCTTTAGGTTCCATTCAAACAGCTCCCTAGAGCTGTGGGAGGATATAAATATTACTTAATCCCATTAACCAGTCTCAACAAGGCTAACCTTTATGATGAATGAATAACCCAATGAATGAGTAGAAGAAGCGCATAGATGAGCAGCCTGTGGACTGAAGCTTTGTTTTCACAGGTTATCTTAAACTCTCTCTGCGGGCTGCTTGTGAATGTTTGAACACTGTAGCTGATTGGTGACCTGTCTCAGTAGAGATGGAGTGCTTTGCAGAGAGATAAGGAGGTTTCCCAACAGTATGGGGAAAAACACTTAAAAACACACTAAATTCACAGTAATCTTTAGATCTGCACTTTAAATGGTACACTGATTTAGAAAGCTCCTCATTATAAATACAACCCATTTAGACAACTGAAGTTGCAAACTGAGGTTGAACCTCGGCTTTTTGGATATAAACAGGTGTTTATATCGGTTTCCCATTTTATTGTAGGAAAAGGCTTGCGGAAGAGACCTTTCTCTCTGTATTATACTGTGGTGGTTATTTATAGTCATGCTCTGATCTCTAACTTTAAATATGTCGATGCTGTCTGTCTCTCAGCTCTGAGATTTATCAGTGACGACATTGTGTCTTGTTTCAGAAGGTGGGCTGGTGAGATCAGCACTTTCATCTTTTTGCATATAAAAGAAAAACAAAAAATGACAACCTTTTTTATTGTCACTCATGTATCACACCACAGAATTAGTCATTACACCCAGTCTTAGGACTGTCTGAACCTAAATGTTCCTGCAGTAAATACAAAACGTAAAAAGACAGCCTTTAGATATTTTGCGCCATTTTTATGAAATGATTTACTAAAACATTACTAGGACAGTTTTACATAATATGCTTGTATTTTTATTCCTGTTTTATTCCTAAACCAAGGATATTTACTTTGATGGGCACAGTTGTCACCAAGAACTTGCTAATGTTACATTGCAGCCATAACAGGCCAATTTGCAGCTGTTTTCTCATTGAACTCTGTGAATTAAGAGTTTACTTCCACCAAGCCAGAGTTGGTGATTGTTGGAAAGATTGTGGATAGATAGAACAAATGTGGTTTTGGGTTCGGTTTGTTGGTTCAGTCCAGTTTGAAGTGTGTTTATTGTCTGCTTGGTAAAATGATGGTTTTGGTCTAAGATGCTGGTGCTCTTGTTCAGAGCTTCCCAACCTTTTTCTCCAAGGAGCCCTTTTCTATCACTGAGTAAACTACTCAGCTACACCTCTGGTTTATTGCCTGCAGGTTTCCAATGGATAGACCAGCCACCACCCTCAGGCCCCACCATGGACTACTATGTTCATGTTAAACTAAGGCTGCTCAATTAAACAGCATGCACTGCACACGAGTCATGCGCTCGTATACGCCGTTCCCCGACCTGTCGCGCGACAATTGTGATGTTCACAGGAGCACCGTAACTAATTTCTAATGTCGCTGGTGTTGGCGACACTCCTGCAGTCTTTCTTCCTGTTACGTTGTTATCTTTGAACCAGGTAACGAGGAGACCTTACAAATGTTTATGGGGGAAAGGAAAGTGCTAACAGAGAACTTCTTGCAAAGCTGTTTTGAAACAAATGCAATAAATGCAGCAATGTTTCCTGAGTTGAAAATAATCGTTTGGAATAATCGGGATTACAATTTTGACCCAAATATATCGTGATTATGATTTTTTCCATAATCCAATGTTGGCACGCGGTGTCTTGTTTGATTTCCATTTTCTTTGTGGCTTGTTTTTTCTCTGTAAAGAGCTAGAGGGTTTCTTGGAAACCCCCGCCCCCCCCGCCGCCCCCCCCCCCCCCCCCCCCCCCCCCCCCCATTGAATGTCATTTGGACTACAAGTGAAGGTTATGTGTGTGGGTTGGCACTTTTTAAGTGGGTTCTGGGTGTGGAAGCTAAAGGTTAGATGTGTAAGGCTGCTGATGTTGAGCAGGGTTAGGAGTGATACAGTTTTTTACACTGAACCAAAAACCGCCGGCATAATGCCGCCCCAGTGCGTGAGTTACAGATAGTGTGCCAGCGTGGGGAAGCTTTTTCAACAGTGTGACGCTATTCAGTCTGGAAACAACACACTTTACACTGTCTACACGGCTCTTGGTATTGGTTTACTCACCGACAAACTGAACAGGCTGTGTAAAAGGGGTTATTGAGAGTGTTTGGACATCCTTTCCTTGGCACTGGAATGATGCAGGAGGTCAGTAATAGTAGGGCAGTGGTATACCAATACCATGGTATACTGTGGTATGAAAATGTATGTCATACAGTGTACATTTGCTTATCTACAGTACTGCATTCTATTGGATGAGTATAATACCATATACCGTGATATTTTCTGGCATGGTCTTGTACTGTTGCAACACCTACTCTGTAGTTCATGCGATTTTCTCAAGCCTCAAGGAAATATTGAAGTGAATGATTGTGAGCTGGCCAGCACACCCTTTAATTACCCTGGAACTGATGTTATCTGCTTTGTTTGTTGCCTGAGCAATCGTTTCCACAGTTTGCCGTATCAAATTCATAAGGTGACAACATGTAATGACTGTGTGTCTGTCTCCTCGTTGTGCAGCTGTCCCGCCTCCTAATGGACTCAGACATTTTGGGAACACACTTGTGTTATCTCTTTACAGCAACACAAATGCTGATACCCAATATCAGGGTTCTCACGCGATGTTAACTGTACTTGTCAAGTTGGCTAATAGAAGATTAATTTGAAGTGTTACTCGTGTGATGTGCTCAAAGTAATGTTACCGTTAAAGGAAAGCTGTAATAAACTGTAGTCAGTTCACGGGAGAGTTTGCAGCAGAAATATGTGGGAACCCTGAATATGTAGATGACACTGTCATACAGCGTGGAACTTGATGATGAATTGAATGTTAAAATGTTTGTCGCAACCACGATACAAACTTGATAAAACAAAGTTACTGATGGCTTTGTGCTTATTAGGCCCTTACCCGTACAGGTAAGGTTTGTTGGTTTGTTTGCTGGCAGATAACAAAATGGGAGGGGTCCACCTTATGTGGAGCAAGGTGTTAATACATTTCATGGTGAACTGGCTAGTGATTGTTGATCTGATTGTTCAGACACACTCCTTACATACAGTACTTTGAGCATCTGTCTTCAGTGATCACATAGGGGATTTAATGGACCAGTAATTCATGAAATCTCATCCGTTTCCTGTGTGCAGATGATGTGGAGCGCTGTGATCCTGCTGGCCGCTGCCCTCGGAGTGGGTGAGTGTTGTTTCATATTGCTGTCTTTGAAAGGCAGTCTAACATCTCTGTTTAGTGGATTTGTCCTCGACAACAGCAAAAATTACATTAACATTATAGAAATGTTCTTTACACTAAGTCAGCCATTGCTTCTGCTATGATTTAATGGACCACTTCTTTGAACCCTGTTTATCTGAGATAAGCTGAGGTGGTGTGTTAGTAGCAGACATTCTGCCTCACTTTCTCTCTCCTCCTGCCTTTGACTCAGAGTCCTATGCTGTCCATGATCTCCATGAGCGACTGGCCCACGGTCGCCAGCTGAAGATCTACCTGCCCAAAAGTGCAGAAAAGCTGGAGTTCATCCCAGCTGATTATCCCGGCCAGGTCATTGTGTACTGGCAGAATGGCATTCTCAGGTCAGTTGCGCACAGCATGGAGGGAAGCTCTTTGTTGCTTCCAGTGTTGTTGCAGTTTATGTATTTGCATGTGTCTGTTGTTCTGTCCCCTACAGGGGAAAGAGAGGCTGGGTGTCTGGCACTGGCAGCGACCGACGCTGGTACATCGACAAGGTAACCAGAGTCTTTTGTTTAGTCTGTCCTAGACCTTAGAGGCAAACCTTAGTCTTCCATCAGCTGTTGAAAACGAAACACCTGCTTTTAGTATGGTCACAGACTCTAAGTCTTCATTGTGTATTTATGCGGTCTGTTTGTGGGTTTATTTAAGGTGACCTATGAGGACCAGGGGACGTACACTCAGACAGACTTCTGGAATAAAGAGATCTCCACTGTCAAAGTGGCCGTCATACGTGAGTTAGCCGAGGCTTGCATTAGTTAGCCATGGTTGCTAGTAACTTCTGATTCTTTTGTTTGATTTTCTTGCATCCTCACTTAACAACTGTTGCTAATATGATTATTATTATTATTATTATTAGATACATGCATTGAAAACACAACAAGTCTACACCCCTAACTCTGAATACCTGCAGCCTCATGAACAAAGGTAGTAAATAAAAATAGGTGTCTGTGAAGCCAGCAGGAAGACAGGTGGTGTGGGAAACGCTTCAGGAAATATCTACCATGGCTGCCCCCAGGGGACCCTATAGGATTACTAATTATATTTTACAATGCTAAGATATTTTATATTTAAACATCTCAAAAATAATCATTAGTTTAATTATCATGGCAATTCAAAACGTTATCTTCTGAGCACCAGTTTATTTTACTGTCTCACAAAGACCTTTGTAATTACTCAAAAATTGTGGTGATAATATATATAAAATATACCATGTACTGTAAGGGCCTACAGTAAAACTGCGACAGTTATGAACTCTCAGCTGTAGTTTTGAAATGTACAATTGAGATATAATTCAGTGACGTGAATCTGCAAGCTTAGATACCACAAACAGTGAGAAAATGTTTTTTGTTTGTTTTGTGTGAAGTGACCCACCCGGGGTATAATTTGTGTTAACGAGGCTCTTTCATGGCTCCTCAAATGACAGAGCCTACTGACAACCATATGATCTAAAGAATATCACACAGCGAATAATAACACTTAAATTAGCAAAAATGAGTTCAAATAAATCTAAATCCAACGGCTTTATTCCACCGGCATTATGTTCTGGGCACAAAAACGACGGCTGCTGAGGCTGATTGCAGCACTCAGCTCGGAGTTTAAAGTGGCTACTAGCTAGTGGTAGACTACCTGCTGCCAGAGCCGTATAGTGAGAGAGTTGCTGTAACGTGTGCAGAGAGCAACTATTTCAACAAACAGCTCTGGTACCAAAATAAGACACTGAAATCTGCGTTGTGATTTGGTTCGGTTGAAACCATACAAAATCCATACTACCAAGCCCTAGTCCAAGAAGCGGCTCTCCGCTCCACTCTACTTACAATTCGTGCCAAGTCTCTTTTTGATGGAGTCCGCCTCAGAGTGCCCAGAGCCGATGAAGCTTGGCAGGAAGTCACACACCCTGTTCATCCTGCCTGCCTGAGCAGCGTGTGGCAGCTGAACTGCTGCAGCTCTCTAGCTGTGCTATCCACACAGAGAGCCTTTCTGCTGCGGAGCTGCTGCTGCCAGCCCTGTCTTTCTATACTGAGTTAGCCTTTGACAAACACAGTACAATAAAAGCTGCGTTAACATGTGAAGGGATTCTGTCATTTATATACATTTATATTTTTTCCATGTCTGTAACTTATTCTACATACCGTAAAACTTCCAATAAAAGCAGGGTCCCTAATAGACGCAGGTCGCTTTTAAAAGCCTGGTGTGGCTACACATTTTGAAAAATAAACGCAGGTCCCCAATAGAGGCCTGGTCTGGATTTTATAGAAATATCTCCATGTATCCCCTCTTAACACTCTTAAAACCCACCAGGTCGCCCGCTGAGTTTTAAGTTGTTCCAATCTCCTACACAAATATAAATTTTAAGAACTTCCTGTCAATATGTACATATGCACATTGTTCATCTTTCACAATATGATTTTATGAAAACCTTCAACCCCACAAATTATAACGTTTATTCATTCATTACTGTAACATGGTAACAAGGAGGACGGGAAAAAAACCTCTGATGCGATCATAAATCCTCCATTGTTAGTTGTCAAGTTGGCTGCAACAAAAGTCCAAGGAAGCAGCCAGTTGGAGTTTAGTTTAGTTTTGTGCTAAAAGAATTAAAGACCTGTCCCAAATGGGGAGGAGGCCTGTCCCAATTAATTCAGAATCGAATTCT